TTGGATAGTTTGTAAAATAGAAAAAATGGAATTTCTTCAAAAAAAAATATGAAACATATTATTTTTGTGAAAAATTTTTTATATTAAAATTGCTTGTCATCATAAAATATATGAAATGACATTCAATATCCAAGGATGATTTTTCATACACAGATATGAGATGTTCTGATATCAATAATTTATATAAATACTTTATGTTGCAAGGATCGAAAATTAATATAAAAATGGGATTAGACATATTTTTATAAAAATAATTTAATTTAGCAAATAAAAAATAATTTAATTTTCAAACCATGCAAAGTGTGAAAATTAAGTGAAATTTATGTTTCATCACCCAAAATCTATTCACTTGAAATTCTTAGATTTTATCAATATTTTGTCTTTTACAAAATAATTGCCAAAAAAAAACCAAAAAAAAAAATAGGGTTTTTTTTTACCCTTTTGCCTCTTATTAATTAATTAATGACCATTTTATCTCCTATCCAGAACTATCTACCAATCTGCCCCTCTTTAATCAATTAACTTGAATATTTAATCGATTAAATGGTTAAAATAGACAAAAATGATTGACTCGAGATTTAATCGATCAAATCTCCCTCTTTAATCGATTAAATTTTCAATAAAAGAGGATGCGATGATGAAATAACCTTGAGCATGGCCATGAAGGAGAAAAGAAGTGTCGCCATCAAAGATGATGCATCTCGGCTAAGTTTTCTTCTGTGATATTAGTTATGGAGATCTTAACTGAATTTGGTTTTCTATTGTTAAATCCTGGGGCGTAACGAATAATGGGTTCTATGCAAAATTTGAAATTTTTGTTCCTGCGTTGGAATCTTGGATTCATTTCTGCATTGGTATGTTCAATTGAAGTTCGTGTTGTGTTCTGGTGTTTTGCTTCTTGGGATCTTTCTATTTGTTATCACACTAGGCATTTTTGGTTTTCCCTCTAATCTACGATTTCATTTTTGTTCAAACACATATCGTGAGAAAAATGCGATTTTTGGAATTTGTTTGGGTAATTGGTTGAAGGGATTACAATCTGAAATCGTGTCTCTTGCTTTGTTGACGTTTCTGGGTATTGATTATATTGCCCGTGCTGTGATGTGTGTTTCAGTTTTTGCAAAGAAAGAAAGAAGAAAAGGATAAAAAATAAAAATTAGGACTTGTGAAATGAATTTCAAAACTTCTGTCTGAATAGGCTCTTGATTTTTTGCTATTGATTATATTGACGTTTTTCTCTACTGTTTGGTTCCCGAGAAAGTGTCGGAACACAAAATAAGACTATCTACTGCTTTTCGTTTCGTTGATATTATTGAAGATTTAATTGATTGATTAAAGAGAGATTTAATCGATTAAATCTTGAGTCAACTATTTTTGTCTATTTTGACTATTTAATCGATTAAATATTGAAGTTAATCGATTAAAGATGGGTAGATTGTTGGATAGTTTTGTGTAAGTGACAAAATAGTTATTAATTAATTAATAAGAGCAAAAGAGTAAAAAGCCAACAAAATAGTATGAACTATGCATTATATCAGAATAAGAATTCTTTATGAGGATTATAATATTTCATGAATAATTTAGCATTCAATTAATTCTGGACTATGCATGGTATCATTCACCTATGTTAAATGATATCAAATATTTGAATTCAAGAAAAATAGAAAAAAAATACATTATTAAACTATATTATTTAAACAAATTTAATATTTTTTAATTTTTGAGAATTTTGAAAGGTCATAAAAACAAATAAATCATTTACGCTTAATGAATTTAATGTTAACCTCTAAAAAATAATAACTATACTATTTATACTTTAATTGTTTGTATTAATTATATATATATTACTATATTTATTTGTCTCCTCTTGTTTTATATATATATATATATATATATATATATATATATATTAGGTTTGTATTTGTTATTTAACATGACACAACAAACTTTTCTACACGCACAACACTTTGTGGAGTCCACATTTGTTGAAAAAAACAAACTACGAACACGCAAAACGAATCCCTATAATATTACAGAATCATTTTTCCTGTAACATAACTCTTATAAAATCCTATATATATATATATATATATATATATATATATATTATATATATATATATATATATATATAAATAAATAAAAAGTAAGAGAAAATAATAAATAAATAAATAAAATAAAATTTAGTACTTCGGAGACATGACAACATTCTGGTAATCGCAAAAGGAGTAGCATCGTTATTCTCAACTAGGATTGCTAAGGTACTGCGTGACACCCCGGTCCCTAGGCCGCCAGCGACACTCATTAATGTAAGTTGGTACTTAATTTTATAATTAATATAATTTAATATATTAATATTTTTTACTACATTGTAGTTAAAAAAGCCCTCCCGTTATTTATCAAAAAAAAAAAAAAAAAAATTCTCCCGTTGATATTTATATTAATACTTTTTTATTATCAATCAACTATTATTTTAATTATTGTTGGATTAAGGTTTTTCAGTCAATAATTTCTGAATATTTTTTAATATTATAACTATATATATTTTGTGTTTATAATTATGGTGAATGATAATAAAAAAAGTAGTAGTATGAAACTATGAATATCCTATTTCTTTACTTATTACTCCAACAGAGAAGGCCTTAATATAATAATAAGAATAAATTCTCTCTTAAATTTCAATTTTTTGAAATTGTGTTATTAAAAAATTTAAAAAAGACTCGTATTAGTCTTTTAAAAAAGATTAATATAGATATTTTTCTTCTAAAAACTCAAAATGAATTCTGTATTTTTTACTAAGTACCCATAAAGATATTTACTCTACTAATAATATGCGACCGTTAGAATAATCACGGAATAATATTTCACAATGAGTTGATTGTCCACGGCGCAATCTGTGTGATCAATATTTCACTCACATCCAACTTACCCCCATCATTTACATTGACTCTGTTTCCTAGATTTCTGTCTCAACTTTGTTAAGAATTCATCTCCTGGACCGAGAGGGTGAAAAAAAAAAAAAACATAAACAACTAAAGTTGTACTTGGATCTGACCCAAAACTAAAGTTAAAGAATATTTTTCGTACCAGATATATTGAAAATTTAGTGTATCTTATAATTATATTGTGACACGTATTTTATTTTATATCAAATTATTTTATTTCTTAATTATATAATAAATTATTACAATATAAATGAAAGATGCACCAAATTTACAGTGCATCCATAGCACCAAAGAAATTTCCCTGAACCAGAGGTAAAACCGTAAAATAAATGGGAACATTGACCATGTTGCCACTCCTTTAATAAAAAATTACCGGATTGCCACGCCAGAATTTTTTTTGCCAAAATGTCACGTCACAATCTCGCTGGTCTGACAAGCGGGAATGGTATGGACATCCAGATAATGCTTGTACTTTTGCTACATGTCAGCATTCTGTCATTCTAGCTGGTCAGCCCAGCAAGAATGGTTAAGACCATTCCCGCTTGTCAGACCAGCGAGATTGTGACGTGACATTTTGGCAAATTTTTTTCCTGGCGTGGCAATACAGTCATATTTTGCCTAAAAAGTGACAATATAGTGAAAGTCCCAAATAAATGCTCCTTACTCTTCTTCCAAAAAGATATTTTTGTTTTTGTTGTTATATGATATAAATTTAAGAAAATCATTCCCTCGTTCTACTTAAAAAAAAAAGTTATTTCATGCCCTTTAACATAAAAAATTATGTCACTACTTTATTTTTCTTTTTTCTTTTTAATAAAGGTCTCACCATATCATATCTTTATAATAGGAGATATCTATCTCTAACAACATGAAAAAATAAAATCTCATAAATTTATTTATTTGCATGGGTGCATAACAGCTTACAAAATGGAATTAGGAAAAAAAAAATTTAGCTTCAATACCAAATTTTTATATACTACACAAAATTAGAGTCAGTTTGTTTGGACTTCTAAAAAATAACTTTTATCACTTTTTATTTTAGAAGTATTTTTACAAAAGTTAAAGCTATTTATATTTTTATAAAAATATTTAGTTTTTGAAAAAAAATATTTTATTTTTTGACTTATGTTTTTTTAGAAGCTAAAATTTTTGGCTTTAAAAAAAAAGTAGATTTTTAACTTTTTCTGTAACTTCTGTTTTTCTTAAAGCAGACGTCCAAACGAATTTAAAGTGAGAAGTGTTTTTTTTTCCTAAAAAAAATAGCTTTTATAGAGAGAAAAAAAAACTCATCCAAACGATCCCTTACAATTTTTGGTTGAGAATTGCAATTTCCTTATTTATAAGAATGGACTATGAATGATTTTGATTTTGATTTTGATTTTTTGATATAGTGGTGGAATTTGAACTGATGACCCAATACAAACTATCCAAATTTCTTGTCACTATTTCATGAATGATTTTGATACCATAAAGGCGGAAGAAACCTATTCCTAAATACATTCCTGGCCTGTTTAAGTGGACAAGCTGCTTACCAAAAAAAAAAAAAGTGGACAAGCAATTGAAGAATTTTTCAATTTTTGTTTTTTGTTTTTAAAATCCAGTAGCACTCTTTCAGGCCAATAGTCCGTAAGCTGCCGTCAATTACGCAGCTGGTTAAAGGGGATAGTCTTTTTATGTTACTACCTCCTATTGGGAAATATTTAATATGCTCCAGGATTATTTAATGATTTGATGTTCTCTTTCATAACACTAATTTTTTCTTTCTCATTTTATCCCTGCTATTTTTTTTCTTTTTCAATTTTATCCTTCCATTTACATTAAGGGACCACTTAAAAAATGGTGTTCCCAGACCACGATAAATTATCTCCTCCTATTGATACTAAGTTGGTTTGACTGCAAACAGTATTATATCTTTGAACAATGAAGCTTGAAAGATAAAAATTAAAAACAATAAAAACTCTCACCACAACTAACAAGGGCAGAACAAAAGTTCACATATTCCACAAAGTATCTGTAATGGACACCAATTGTGTTCCTTCTACTACATTGCTCTAATAATTTAAAATGGCAACCTATGAAAAACCACTCCTGTAAAGAATATATAACTTATCAGCCAAAAAATAAAAAAATTGAAGTTGATCAGGTTTACCAAACCAATGTGCAGTGTATGAAATACAGGGTATGGAGAATTAAAGACTGCTCAAACATTCCAAAGGATTAAAAGAATCAATTACTAACACAAAGAATGCCCTCTTCCTATAAACTTTTCTACAGCCTACATCAATGGTATACTTCCTCTTTGGTTGATGAAGCATTTGAAGAAGTGTGATTATCTTCAGCTGCTATATATTTTAACTGATCTTTCTAACAACTCGTGGTTGTTTCCTGGAATTTCTTTGACCCTTGATCCGTTCTTGTATATTTTGAAGGCTGGGATGGAGCTTACACCTTCTGATTTTGCCAAGTAGGGATGGTCTTCAATCTCCACCTGTAATAGTAAATTAATTATAAGTCAGAAACAATGTGAGGTTGGTTTTTTTTTTTTAATCACACCGTAGCGGCAATTGATTAGTAGAATTTTTGTTTGTTCCTATATAAAGATGCTATGTTGTTTTCTGACATGTTTGTCCAATGTTAATACCATCCTAACTGTCCGTTAGAGTTTTCAAAATTCTTTTTTCAAATTTTCAGTTGAAAATCCTATAAGCTTCGAAGCCTAAACCATTCAAAATTAACCAACCTTTAGGAAATTAACTGATGGGAATCTCTTGCAGGTTTGCTCCAACACAAGTAATACTTGCTTGTGGGTTTCCTTGTTGCAAAAGAGCACCACAGACATCCCTATTCAATTACCCAAGACTGGTTAGTATTTGTTATGTGTAATGCCCAAATTTAATTGCATAAAAGAAACAGTCAAATGTGACTTACCAGGTGAGGTAACATAATGTCTAAACCGATCATTGCTTGAGATGGAAACCAAATTTGAACCAAATTTTAAGTCCTTAATATCTTCACCACGCAGCATCTTGAGTTGGAGCTGAGTCTCAAACAGAGCCCTGGCAACCTCCTCATCCCCTGGCTTATCTCTTATTAGCATTTCATAATCTTGAATGGCAGCTTCCCATCGTTCCAACTATCATATGTAAAGTGATAATAATAAGGAAGAGGTTATTAACTGCAAACAAAGTATAATATACTAGAAGTTAGTATTAAAGTAGAAATTAAAGTACCTTAGCATTGCAATCTGCCCTCCGCAACCTTGCCTTGCTATAACTTGGCTGAACTATAAGGGCTACATTACAATCTTCAATTGCTCTCTCGAATTGGCCTAGCTTAGAACGACATGCTGCCCTGTTGCATAGCAGAACTGAGTTGTATTGATCATGCTCTAGTCCTTCATTGTATATTGCACATGCTTCCATGAATTTTGATGCCTTGAAGAGTAAGTTACCCCTCATTCTGGCTGATGTCACTACTCTGGCCCTCCTTACCATTGCATTCACCTCACTGCTGCTTGGATCAAGTTTAGCTGCTTGCTGAGATGCTGTCACAGCATCCTCAAACCTGTCACCGCACAAAAATGAAAAGCAACTTGGGGTCATTCCTAATGGCATTCAGATAATTAATCATCTTAGATCATTGAATATATATATAAGAAAAAGAAGCAATAGCAGGGCGAAGATGATAATTTAATTTGGTCATCTGGGGTACAGATTTTGGTCAAGTGTGAACAACTGACACGGCTATATAAACACCAACTACGCTTCAAGTGTTTGTATTAGTCAGCATGCATCATTATCGCAGTCAAATTTATAAAATGAATTGATCTATTATTCTAGCTTTCAGTTTTAAGGCTGCGTTGAAAAAAATAGGAAGCCTAGTTGTTAGTACTTAAGCGCTAATTGGCCTGCTTTAACAATTCTATCTGGTCCCTTATTTTGTAAATGGTTTTGTTTGTTTACATATCATGCCAAATGAAGCAATAATGTTTGAATAATGTTAAATACATCAACATAAAGTAATTTTCACCAACCTGTTGGTTGCCAAGCAAATTTGTGCGCCAATCATGAAAAGGTAAGCACTACGAGCCAGGCCAAATAATTTGTTACACCAATCAAGGTCAAATTTTGGCATTTTCTCGTAGGTGGCAGATGCCTCTTGACGTCTTAGGAGCTTCAGCAAGGCTTCGGTTCGTAAAGCATAGACCTGGCATACATAACCATTTTGTAATCAGCATACAGCCTAGTGGCTTATTTATAAATCACTGTGGAACTTATAAACAATAAAATAAAGGGGAATTCTAGGATACCCATTTGGGAGTGTTACTGGCCATTGAGTGACAGTTGGGTAAATTTGGATACAAAATCCAATGGTAAAAAATATAGGTGTCCAAAAAAACTAGGCATACGAAAGAAACCTAAAAAAATAAAACGTTAGACCAAGGAAACTAACCTGTGGAGCTGAATCAGCACCTAACGATATTGCAGACTGAGTTTCATTTAGTATAGCTTTCCAGTCATTGACTTTCCGAGCCTCGGTGCATTTGTTAAGGTGATTTTGTAGAGCCTGAGCTTGGAAAGCCTGTACGGAATCAACGTATGGGGTTGTTTGAAGGCAATTCAGTGCCTTTTCTGCTTCTCCCAATCTGCATTAAAAAATTTCAATTCTATAAGAAAAAGTAATAACAAAACAATCACCACACCACAGCATAACCCAAAATCCATTCCCCATTAATTGTTTTCTATTAGTCGATGGAAAATTGAACGAAGGTTATTACTTATTACATTGTTATTATTATTGAGTACCTGAAATAAATTGTTGACAAACGGCTGCGGGCTCTGCCATATGAAGGCTCCAAACGAATAGCTTCCTCGCATTCAACAATTGCCTGCTGAAACTGTCCCAAGCCAATTAAAGCTGCACTCTTATTGCAATGATACGTTGCCTTATTCGAGTCAAGAGCAATGGCTCGATCATAAAAAGCCAAAGCTTCTTCAAATCTTCCTTGCTTATGTGCTTCATTTCCCATGGACTTCAACACCTCAGGGTCTACTTTGTTGTTCCTTGGACTTCGAAATTGTGCAAGCTCATCATTGTTCTTCCTCATGATATTCCCCATTACACCTTTGTTGGCATTATTATAAATACTGGACATAGTGTTCAACTCTTTAGTCTTGGTAACACTAGTTCTTGGGCTGTTATTGAGGAGCAAATTCCCAGTGAGTTTCAAGGTACCTAATTCTTTGGCTGGGGATTTGGTCTCATTATCTCGCTGATGACTAGTTCTTATTCTAGCAAGTTCCAAAGAAGTACCACTTAGCTCTCTCTGTTGTTTGATCTCCTCATTTGAGTCCTGGTTCTTTTGAATTGAGCTTCTTGCAGCATCTGAAGGTCTCCCATTTTGGCTGTTTCGGTGTGCAGAAGATGAACGATGGCTAGAGTTGCTCTTCCTCGCTGGATTCTGGTTCCCTTCAGTGGGAAAGGTCTCAGTGAAGCTGTTTCTAGGAACCTTTGATTCATGGTTTTTGTCCTGATCTCTCTGTTGTGCATTATTGCTAGCCTTCATGGGTAGTGAATGAACAGAAGACTTTCTCAGCCTATTGCTTTTGCTGAGTTGGAAAATTCTCCCCACGAAACCGCAACCCAATTCAATCTCCACCTTGTTCTTGGCTTTCCCTGACATGACTATTTGAAATTGACCCTCCTTGAAGTTCAGTGTCAGAAGAGGAGATAGGTGAAGGATCACAGAAACAAGTGTGTATATGTTTAAGTCACTATGACACGAACAGGGTGTACCTAGATGGAGAGAAGCTGAAAGAAATCTGAGAAGTTATGACAGTGAAATCATGAAGTGATGCCTTGAATATGAAGGAGTTTATGTAAGACGCTTGCCCTCTAGGCTTGTAAAGGATGTTGTTTTATTTGTGTATTTGTGTGTGTATATATAAAGGTCATAGCCTTCAAGAGTGGCTTCGAAGAAACCTACTTTAGCTCTTTATGAGGCTTTAGAGAGGACAGTGGGTAGGATTCAATAGATTAGTAACACACGCATGAATTTGTATCATTCTCATTTTTTTAGGGATAGTGTCAGGCAGGTTTAGGGGAACTCCGTGGCGGGGTCACCACCAATGAGTTAAGTTAGATCGGTCATATGACACCACGTCTCAACCCAAAACTTAAGGTATTGGGTTCATGGGTCCTTCCATTTATATACTCTTCACTTAGCCCATTACCAACCAATGTGAGACTCATCACATTTGAATATCTGAACAATCTTCCCCTCAAGTGTGAAACTCACCATTGATTTGCTCCCCCTCAACTGAGTACTCCTGGCCCAAGTACTCAACCCGCCTTCTAGCCAATCACTCGAGCACAACCCGGCTCTGATATCAATGTCAGGCGGATCCAGGGGGAAGCCCGTGGCGGGGGACCACCACTAATGAGCTAAGTTACTCCAAGTACACCAAGTAGATCCGACACCGCGTCTCAACCCAAAACCTTAACGATGGTCCCCCGCCACGCCACGGGCTTCCCCTAGACCTGCTGACAGATAGGATAATATCGATCAATTTTAAAGTTAGATTGATTATGTTGGATCATATTTATTTTTATTTTTGTATAGTTATGATTTTTCATATTTGATCCTTTTTCCATGTTTAATGTCCCCATATTGAATGTGAAAGCATTAAATATGAGGAATCATAATCATACAAAGGTAAAAATAAATATAAAGTATTAAATATGAGGAATCATAACCATACAAAGATGAAAATAAATATAATCGTTGGATCAATATAATCGATCTAACGGTGAAATTGATTGGTAATAACATTAATAATAACCATAATTGATTGTTATAATATCTTATCCCATTTTTTTAATATTATATGTTCTGTGATAGTAAATCACAATTTTTTTCTGTGGAAGGGGTTACCCCAATTGTGGTTGGTGGGCTATTAAAAAGGACACAAATTTTCATATAAAAGAAGGGCACCATTCTTGTACCAAGTTTTACCAATCCTTCACATTTTTGTCTCTTGAAAAAGGAATGTTTTTTAAAAGAAAAAAAAAATCGAAATCCAATCAGACATGATAAGATGAAGCTTAAAAATTTACAGCTCACAGTATTGCATCTGCCGGATTTAAATGCTATGATTGATACACGGCACAGAGCAGATAACTTTTAATCACCACGTAAGTAAGTATCTGTGATGTCACTGATAAAGAAAATTATGATTTGTAGAATTATTAGACTTGTATCATTTGTTAGAATCAATCAGTTAAAATGTTCTCTCAATCCATCTCAAGGGCCCGGGCTAAATTAATTTAATTTAAATTAAAAGGAAACGTTTATTGGTTCAGAACAGTGAGTCTTATAACGCTATCACTAGGAACAAATAGTAGCATATTGAACCTTTTTATACAAGAGTACATAAAAATATAAATAAAGGCAATCGCCCTGTTAAGTTGCTGCTAGCTTCTTAGCACCTTCTTTTATAAAAATAAATAAATCAAACGTTTTCAGAAGTATTTAAATTTGTTGACAGATTAATATGACATCACATTACATGCGAGAATATTCCTAGAAAATGCTGAGATCTAAGCTCGTTGAAGAGAAACCATATCGGCAAAAAAAAAAAAAAAATGTTTTAAGCGCCTTACTATACTTGAAAATTTAGATTAACTTTATTGACATGCTAATCTCTTCCACCTAGATCTCAAGTTTAAAATCTTAAAGCATCCACTGCTTTGATTATATTTATAAAATGATATTATTTTGAAGAAATGATTTACAATATATGGTTCCCTTTCAATTATGCGAGAACAAAGTTGATTATTTAAAACATAAATAAGGAATCAAAAGCCAACACAGGTTGCTTTACCAAGTCAATCTTCTGTTTATGATTGATGATTTACAAGAGAATGGACTCTTTTCACCTTAAACTTTGAGGCAATAAAAAAGAAAAAGGAATCATCCCCTTAAAAAAATAGCTACCACGGTTTCTTTACTTTGGACTAAATTTGGAGGGAGGGGGAGATTGGAGCCCTACAATTTTCAATTTCAGTTAGCTTAGAAATTCTTGTGTATTTGATCGATCGTCTCTCTTTAAGTCTTTGTTAAGTTGATAAAAATAAATTAAACTAATGAAAAGATTACGTATGATACGTTTGGTAGGTATATTTATATACAGACTTTGAAACAGTCATAGATGCGTAGTACGAAACTTAAAGCTGAAGCATGAACGAACTTAGGTGTGAACTATTACATAATTCTGTGCATTCGATAATCTTTGTTTTATTTCTCTCGTATAGTTTTTTAAATACACATTCATATATATGTACATATATTAATATGAGACGTGTTATATTTATAAACTTTTTTATTTACAAACTCTTACAAACTACATTATCTTCTCCCGAGAAAATATTAGTCACACTATCTTCTCCCGGGAGAACATTAGTCACACTATCTTCACCCGGGAGAACATAGTACAATTTGCAAAAATTTGTAAACGGATCTTTTCCCTATTAATATATAGAAAAAAAATAGGTTTACGTGTAAGTTGGAAGACAACACTTTTTGACCAGAAACAAAGAATGGAAAAGCAAATACATGATTCTCCTAATCACATAAAACAATTAATTTGGTAGCACACTACAATGATCCTTTCAATTTGTTGTGAAAAACTTGCAGAGCCATCTTTTTAAAATTGAGAATGATTTTGTTGTGGGAAACAATATTATTAAATTTATATAATGGGACACGTTGACCAAACCATCAAGTATGATTGTATATTTATATATCTTTCCCCGGAGGGTAAGAATTGATCCCGAACTTTGTTATAATAGCTGGTAACAACTTCCCCCCCTATTGAAAAAAGCTCAAGGTTTGGTAATTGATTGCTTATTATGATTGCTGTTTTGATTTGTTGCCAAGCCACACAAGTCCTCCAAATTCAACTTTTCTTTTCTTTCCATTGCATTTGGCAAGCAAATAAATTTTGTATAGCCCGAAGACCCCACCAAATAGGAAGAGGCTCTGAAGCTGCATCCACGCATTCAAATATAAAACCATTCTAGTACCCTTTTGCTTTGCCACTTCCCTGTACATTCTTCCATGTTGGAGTTTGGTAGGGATTTTTCCCTATTGTTTTTGTGTGAGACCAAGATATGGAGGATTTCATTGGTTTCATTAGATGGAATATGTTTGGGACCACCCAAATAAAGAGAGAGTTGAGATCTTATCAGAAGCAATTGTTCAAGAGTCTACCCACATCCTGTCTCAATTAGTATTCGTCGGTGCCGTCTTGTAAATACTCAGTGTCACCCCGCAACACATGGCACACCATATATTTTGAGATTTTCCCTATACATTACTTTTTTTTTTGGATCAAAGGAAACTTACAAAATCCCTATACATTACTTGTCTAACAAAAATCCAAGTATGAAAATCTACCTATAATTGTAAAAGGGTGTAAATCCACCAAGACAAATACTTATTACCTATAACCAAAGGTAGTTAAAATGAATACTAAAAAAAAAAAATAGTTAAAATGGAAATGAATTCTCACACGTGCAAAAAAATAAATATGAAATAGTTATGTGGGAAGATCACAATCATATATAAAAAAGTAAATCAACGGTTATGATTTTGTAATTATCTATTATAATATTTGTTCTCTCTCTTCCTTTTTTACTATTGAACCACCTTTGTATGGTTATGATTTCACATATGACTTTGTCATATTTTTCTTTTACATTAAAGGATCCAGATCCAGTTAAAATTGAGAATTGGAAAAAATATAAAAAAAATTGTAACGTAAAAAAATTATAAAAATAATATAAAAATATTTGAAATATTGATAAAATCATTTTAATTGAAAAAAAAAATATGATAAATTAAGATTTTTACCACCATGCCTGTAACAACACATGACTACAACTGGAATTATTATTATATATCAAAAACTAGAGGGAAAAAAAGTAGGATTTGACTGAGATTTCGTTTTTCCTATTTATGACGTGTTGCCATTTTGGTGGATAATCATTCATTTTTATTTTGGGGATGGGTTTGACAACATTGGGCTGTACAAAAATCTCGCTAAATTTTTGTCACTTTGATTGTTTGGAGTGTCTCGATTTGTAACCTTTTTTTATCATTAAACTAGATAACTTATTAGGGAAGGATAGTGTAACAATCAAGTTGTGTTACTATCATGTTACAACCAATCAATTTCACGGTTAGATCGATTATGTTAATCCAACGGTTATATTTATTTTCATATTTGTAAGGTTATGATTCCCCGTATTTAAAATGAAAGCATTAAATATGAAAAATCATAACAATACAAAAGTGAAAATAAATATAAAGTATTAAATTTGAGAAATCATGACCATACAAAGATGAAAATAAATATAACTATTAGATCAACATAATCGATCTAACGGTGAGATTAATTGGTAGCAACTTGGTAATAACACAACTTGATTGTTACAATATCCTTCCCCAACTTATTATTCATTAAAATGAATGGTTAAAATTAATAAGACATTAAGACGTACCAAACTCGAGCATCTAATTCTCACGTATAACGCGGCCTGAATTTAGTTATCTGTTGAAACTAATCGGTTTGCAGAAGATAAAAGTCAGTGTTTAATGCCTGAATTTAATTATCTTATGCTTCTCATAATCTTAATTCCCAATTAGTTCTTCTGTTCAGAAAAAAAAAATTAACTAGACAAAATTATTTCTTTCCCTTTTTTTTGATAAACCACAACAGATATTTTCTTAATTTAAACTTTCATTCATAAAAATTTAAAATAAAATAAAATAAAAAATTATCGATAAGGATCACATCTGTACATACA